TGACTTTCTTCAACTGAATGCTGTATCCTTATCATTCAGAAAAGGAATTTTTGGTTTTATGAACAGCAAAACAAACTTTCTAAAAATCCTTTTAATAGATATACTTCTTCCTTATAGAAAACAAAAAATGTTTGGAAAAGGAAAATAAGTTATTCTCAGATAAATACATTGGTTTAGGGGCTGGTGCTCTGTTGTAGCAGGTAAAGCCCCAGCCTGCAGTGCCAGCTTTCCATGAGTCCTGGCTGCTCCACTTCTGATCCAGCAACCTGCTAATGCTCCTGGGAGAGCAGTGGAGGATGGCCCAGGTGTGTTGGTCCCCTGCACCCATGTGGGAAACTCGGAAAAAGCTCCAGGCTTCCAGGAAGACCTTTCTCTCTGTCTCTCTCTCTCTCTCTGTCCACTCTGCCTGTCAAAAAAATAAAAAATAATAAATAAAAGTAGAGCATTGGACACAAACCAGTGCCCATATGTGATGCTGGCATCGCAGGCACTGTCTTTATCCACCACACACAACACTGGCCTCTAAAGTTTCAATTTTTTTAAATATTTATTTGCAAGGCAGAATTAGAGAAGGAGAATCTTCCATCTGCTGGTTCACTTCCCAAATGGCTACAGTGTCCTGGGGCTGGGCCAGTCGGAAGGCAAGAGGCAGGAGCTTCACCAGCTCCAAAATGTCAGATTTCTAAGCCACTTTTCAAATCCCAAGTCCAAAAGGAGATGTGGACTTTTTTTTTTTTTTTTTTTTTGGCTAACACCCTAGGTAATCTTATGTTGTCAGCCTGACACAATCCACTTACTGATGTTTGAAAACCACAGCCGGGCCAGCACTGTGGCATAGCAGGTAAAACAGCTACCTGCAGCACCTGCATCCAGTATGGACACTGGTTCAAGTCCTAGCAGCTCCACTTCCTATCTAGCTACCTGCTAATGTGCCTGGGAAAGCAGTGGAAGATGGCCCAAGACCTTGGATCCCTGCACCCCATGAAAGACCTGGAAGAAGCTCCTGGCTTCAGACCAGCCCAATCCTGGCTGTTGTAGCCATTTGGGGAGTGAAGCTGCAGATGGAAGCTTCATTCTGTCTCTCCCCACCTCCCTATAAACTGCCTTTCAAATAAATACATGAATCTTTAAAGAAAAAAAAAAAAAAACCACAAGACTATATAACTTCAATGATAAAGAATTAAAAGTAGGAGTGGGGGCCGGTGCTGTGGCATGGTGGGTAAAGTCACCGACCGCCTGAAGTGCCGGCATCCCATATGGGCACTGGTTTGGGACCCAGCTGCTCCACTTCCAATCCAGCTCTCTGCTATGGCCTGGGAAAGCAGTACAAGATGGCCCAAGCCTTAAGCCCCTGCACCCACATGAGAGACCCAGAAGAAGCTCCTGGCTCCTGGATTCAGGTCACTGCAGGCCCACTGAAGAGTGAACCATCGGATGGAAGACCTCTCTCTCTCTCCGCCTCTCCTCTCTGTGTAACTCTGACTTTCAAATAAATAACTCTTTAAAAAAAAAAAAAAAAAAAAAAACAGTAGGACCAAAGAGAGTACTGAGAGGAACTAGTATCTATATTTGGTTACTAAGCAACATTAATGACTGACAGATAATAACATAAATGGGGTGCTTACTGGATGAACCACTTTTACATACATTTTCATCTAAGTATCAATGTAGTTTTATAGAGCAAACACTCCAATTCTTATTTTACAAATGAAAAATGCTTAAAGGAGTTGAGACTCAAAACATAGGTACCTCAGCACTACACCACATATCCCCTTGGTCTACAAAGATGGCCTACACTTACCTTGGATGTTAAAAACTGTCAGATGGCCGGCGCCACGGCTCAGTAGGCTAATCCTCCGCCTTGCAGCGCCGGCACACTGGGTTCTAGTCCCGGTCGGGGCGCCAGATTCTGTCCCGGTTGCCCCTCTTCCAGGCCAGCTCTCTGCTGTGGCCAGGGAGTGCAGTGGAGGATGGCCCAAGTGCTTGGGCCCTGCACCCCATGGGAGACCAGGAGAAGCACCTGGCTCCTGCCATCGGATCAGCGCGGTGCACCGGCTGCGGGGCCATTGGAGGGTGAACCAATGGCAAAGGAAGACCTTTCTCTCTCTGTCTCTCTCTCTCACTGTCTACGCCTGTCAAAAATAAAAAAATAAAAAAAAACCTGTCAGAGCAGAAGATTGAGGGCCCCACTTTACTGATTCTAATCAACTGCACAGTTTGTAGTAAGAAGGGATAGTAGCTGGCACCACAGCTCAATAGGCTAATCCTCCGCCTTGCGGCGCCAGCACACCGGGTTCTAGTCCTGGTCGGGGCACCAGATTCTGTCCTAGTTGCCCCTCTTCCAGGCCAGCTCTCTGCTATGGCCCAGGAGTGCAGTGGAAGATGGCCCAACTGCTTGGGCCCTGCACCCCATAGGAGACCAGGAGAAGCACCTGGCTCCTGGCTTCGGATCAGCGTGGTGCGCCAGCTGCAGCATGCCAGCCGCTGCGGCCATTGGAGGGTGAACCAACGGCAAAGGGAAGACCTTTGTCTCTCTCTCTCACTGTCCACTCTGTCAAAAAAAAAAAAAAAAAAATTCCTTCTATAAATTTAAATGGCAAGAGTCCAGTGCCATGGCCCACTAGGTTAATCCTCCGCCTTCGGTGACGGCATCCAATATGGGCACCGGTTCTAGCCCCAGTTGCTCCACTTCCAGTCCAGCTCTCTGCTGTGGCCCGGGAGTGCAGTGGAGGATGACCCGGGTGCTTGGGCCCCTGCACCTGCATGGGAAACCGGGAAGAAGCACCTGGCTCCTGACTTCGGATCAGCGCAGCACCAGCTGTGGTGGCCTTTTGGGGAGTGAACCAACAAAGAAAGACCTTTCTCTCTCTCACTGTCTGTAACTCTACCTGTCAAATAAAATCTTCAAAAAAGAATAAAATATTATAGACATAATTATGTCTGGAATTTGCTTTAAAACATGGTGATGCAGGGAATGTAGATTACAGATAAAATGACTGAGTTAATAATTGCATCTAGTAATACAGAAAACTACCAAGTCACATGATTAATTGTTATTCTCTTCCAAAAAGTTAATTAAGTTTATATAGGGCCACTGCAGAAAATCAGCTTTGTCCCACATAGATAATAATGGCAGCCAAAAGTGTGGCTTTTAATGGAGCCATCAGGTTCAACTCTCACCCAGTTTGCATCCAATCTGCAAAACACGCTACAGCTGAGTGATGAGGCCTCGGGCTCTGAAGGAAAGCTTTTCTCATCCAACTCGACTCCGTTGTCTCCACCTCTTCCTGAGAGAATACCAATTCAAGTGAATTGAGTTTTAAAAATGAAGAAAAGGTTCTAGCTCCTTCCACGTGTTCAAGTGCCAGCCACTTGTTCCAAGAGCATTTTTTTTTTTTTAAGATTTATTTATTTATTTGAAAGAGTTACAGAGAGGGTGAGGCAGAGACAGAGTCTTCGATCCACTTGTTCACTCGCTAATGGTGACAATGGCCAGGGCTGTGCCAGGCCAAAGCCAGGAGCCATCAGGGTCTCTCATATGAGTTCAGGGGCCCAAAAACTCAAGCCATCTTCCCACTGCTTTCCCAGGCGTATTAGCAGGGAGCAGGATCAGAAGTGGAGCAGTTGGAATTTGAACCAGCATCCATATGGGATGCCAGTACTACAGGCTGCGGCTTTTACCCTCTATATCACAGTGCTGGCCCCAAGAGTACACGTTCTTAAAACAGAAAATACAGGATTCAGGTTCACAGGTCAACAACAAAATGGGGATTCTGATCAAGCCCAGGGTCCATAGAGGCTAAACAGGATGAGATGGCTAGGGACTGCCTTTGAATATATGACCAACAAAGTGCTCCATTACAAAAGAGTGATTTAAGTATTTGTTAGACTAACTCACGATTCATTAGGTTATAATGGTTAATGGAAACTGATAAACATGAAACCAAGGTTGCTCGTAACGGATGTAGCAAACCAAATACACAAGAGAGGAAGCCACCATTGAACCTCAAAGTGCCCAGCTAGCTGATGATGACCACCCACCCACTCAGAGGGAAGCAAGTGAAAAGTACCCTAAACAACAACTAGAACACAATATCAAGTTAGCTCATGTCCATACTATGATTATTACAATTAACTGGAGTTAGAATGCTAACTTTAAGGTTTTGAATGACTTGCCACTAGACTCTGTTTAAAGCAAAAACTGGCTACTACTTTTTAGAGGCAGAGACCCCAGCTGGCTTCACTGACAAACCCTGAGCAAGTCAGTATAGTAAAGCCTACAACAGCATTGTTAACCGAAGTTTCACTACGCCAAGAATATTTCAGTCTGTTGCACCATTTAGCAAAATTACATGTTTGGTTTAAAATAAACTCAGGTGGCAAAGATCTGGATAAGCAAAGAACTTCAAACACCACTATCTTACTGCCTATTTCTACGTACTAAAGTGGGGCTGGCATTGTGGTGCAGTGGGTTGTCTGCAATGCCAATAGCCCATATAAGTGCCAGTTTGTGTCTCAGCTGCTCCACTTCCCATCAAGTTCTCTGCTAAAGCCCCTGCCAAGATCTGGATGGAATCCCATGCTCCTGGCTTCAGCCTGGCCCAGCCCTGGCAATTGCAGCAATTTGGGGAGTGAACCAGCAGATGGAAGATTCTCTCTCTCTCTCTCTCTTTTTCCCTCTCATTGTAACCTTGCCTTTCAAATAAATAAGTCTTTAAAAATTTTATTTAGATTTTTAGAACTAATCACACTTATTATTTGCCATGTTTTGACCACAATTACTTCTAGAAGAATGCTTGTGAGCAATGTTGACTTCACCGATCTAAAGTGGACCAAACGTAGCAGTTACCTTTCCTAGCTGGCATGCCTTGGACAAAGTGACTGCCTTGATAACAAGAATGGTGAGTTTGATTATGTTGCTCCATTGCTTTTTACTCCTCTGACTTAAAGGATATCAGTTAGACTTCTTGCTGAAATAGCAATAGAACAACACAATCAGATTTACTTGTTCAACATTTATTGTTTCTGAGGGGAAGGCACTGTGTTAGGTGCCAGGAGCAGAAGGAAGACACAAACACGAATGAGTGTACTCTGCCCTCCAGGAGCGTACAATCTAGTATGAGAGATTAACTACATACAAATAACTATATACCAGTTAGAAAGTGGTAAGTGCCACAGAAGATAAAGTACTAAAGGAAGCTTTCTTAGCTCTCAACTTAAAGGTAAGAACAGGCCAGGTGAAACATATTTGGACTCTTACTCAATTCTCATCTGTATGGCAACCTGAAAATGCAACTGAGAGGGCCTGCTAGGAATTGATAAACTAAGTTGCACCTTGGATCTTGCTTCCTCAGCACTCTCAGCTTATGTTCCAATGATTAGCAAGGGCCCCTCCTAGCAATGAAAGGAAGGAAAATAGCAAGGGAAAATGGCATACACATAGATTTAAAATATGCACACAGTTGGACTGGCTAGGCCCTGGGCACTTCTTCATAGTAGAACAGGAAAGAAGAGTGGCAATGGACAAAGAATACTGGACTAAATAAACATCAGGATTCCAAAAAGCTTAGTTCTAAAACCTCAGGCAATCTCTAGGCTTCAATTCTCTACTTTTAAGATGAGGGAGTCTTTAAGGTCCCATGCAACTCTCCTGTTAATAAAAAGCATAGACAATTAACCTTTTGGCATCTTTACCACAAAGTTTTTAAAATTCAGTGCCTCTTCCTCCTTTTCTTCATTTGAGGAAGAGCCCCTAAAATAAAAAGAAAAACCTTGAGCGACACCCCTCCACTGTCCTGGCTTTGATACAAACAGGCAATACAAGCAAAGAAAGTTTTTTTTTAAACCACATTTTAATGCTTCAGAAGAGCTCCTGCCCTTTGTTATAAACAAGGCACCTTTCTGATTTGCTCAGCCTCACCAACTTAAGCCTGACAATATGTAAACAGATCAAAGGCTCTTGCAATTACATGGGTTTCCATTTTGGTTGTTAAGAAAACTTGAATAAAAAGATAAAACATTTTAGTCAAAGACCTCCACCACCACCTTTGAGCTTCTTTAAGTAGTTGTTTGTCTCTCGGTTCTAAAGTCTGAAGTTCTCCAACGGTTTCATTGCTTTAAAAGTTTGAACAGAACATTCAGAGGCCCTGGGAGGGGGGGTGGGTAGACAATGAATGGGCAAACAGAGGTGCCTCAGAAAAGGTAAGAAAAATAGATGAAAGCAAAATAGCTTCTGTGTTACAGCTTGTTAGCCTTTTGCATGGCAGAGATACAAGATTACTACAAGGAGCAAGTTCTGTGACCCCAAAGAGGCCAACAGAACCAAGTTTACTTTGCCTACCATTTCACTCTTCCTTCCATGTGTCACCAGGGTACTACTCCCATTCTTGAAATGTAGTCTATCTGTACAAGGAATTGAGCTTAGCGGTTCTGTTGCATCTGCCAAGACCAGAACTAATCCAGGGCCCAAAGGACATATAAAACATTTAATCTTTTGGGGACCATATACCTTGCTTACTCAGCCAATTCTATCACACTAGAATGACTAGAATGAATAATCCACTTGGACTCTGCCATGAAACAGTCATGTTTTACCTAGCCAGTGCTTAAGATAGCAACATTAAAGCACCAACTAGCACTGAGGATAGACTGCCAGGTTCACTTTACACTGCCCAGGAGTTGGCAAGCAGAGCTGAGGTTCACTGCTCCCATCAACAGCAAGTTTATAAATACAGCTAGTTCCAAGGAACTGAGTTGGGTTGGATATTGATTGATTGATATATCCATGAAAGGTCTTATATCAGGTCCCCCAATTCACAAAGCAGTCAGTGCAGGACAGACAATTATAATTAATCCAGCACCATACAGAACAGTAACAGGCCCAATGACTGATTGATATGCCTGCTTCTAATCTGATCGTCTACCAAATCACCTCTCCAAACTCACTATAATATATATCAGAGAGATCAAATACAACTGGCACAATCACAATACAAAACCAACCGGGTTTGGGGTGATTATGGAGGCAGTGGCTTTTATATAAAGCTCTTGATAAAATCCTATTTTTAAATTTATTTTTCCTGTCTATGAGTAGGAATTACACTGTACCTGGGCAAATGGCTTATAAGATTTCACAAATTCTGCAAGAAAATATATATTTTGAAATGTCATGCTCTGTTAACACTCTTGTGAAAACACTTCTAGCTGACAGTACCATAAATCTTTAAGCCATAGGAAGCTGCCACAATATAGGAAAAAAGGGTAATTAACTTGCTTCTTTCTTCAGATTAACAGTGCTATTTTACACTCTCACTTTTCAGTAGCCTTGAAAGGCAGGTTTGCTCACTAGTAAGGTTTCCCTGTAGGGTGTGTCTTTTATTTCTTTGGCATGCAAGGCTGGAATGGCAGTTTCGTCTACATACATTTAACCATCTTCAACATACATATGATGAAAAACACCTCCATGTATTAGGGTTCAGGCTAAAGTTGAGAACCAGAAATCTACAAAAACTCAATTCATGTTTTTTAAATACTTTATATGGTAAAAATACAGCAAAAATAGTTTTTGTTCAAAGATGAAAATATATACTGCTATGGTCATGGTTCTAAGGATGATCTCTGGCTCCTCAGCAGTGCACTGTTGACTTCAACCACGGCTTCTCCAACTTCAGTCATTTATCAAAGCTAAAATCATACTGTGGAAAGAAGAAATGAATGTTACTAATGCTTCCTTGGCAATGTTTCTTCAGAGTATGATCTATCCAAACCTGTATCCCTAAGGTTCACCAAGGAATACTCATTTGCACAGAAAGCAATCTTCTATACCTAAAAAGAAAAAAGTATCTATATTAGGCCCTCTCAATGTCCAAGTTTTTCCACAAAAAAAAAAAAAAAAAAAGTAACTAGGAGTGAAAGTGGAGAAGAATAACCTAAATCTGATGCTGGACTGTAGTTTAAAAATAAGCTATGTCCAGGAAAAAGAAAACCTTTAACTCTCCTGCCAGATCTTAGCATATGCTATTGCTATGCTTAAATTTCCTTCTCCTCATCCAACCTCCATCAACCTGCAAGTTCCTACTGGGTGTCAGATTGGGCTCTAGGGCGCCTCCTTTGGAAAGCAAGCCTCTCAGCTCAGGACAGTCACACAGACTCCCGCACTTCTGTCATCTTCCTGCATGCTTTGGTTTATATGCTGGTTCCTACCACTGGACTGTGAGCTCCCGTAAGACCAGAGCAGAAACCAGGCATCACTGCTTCCAAGTTCTAGTGTAACACTCTTACAAACCAGTGACCAGCTCTACGCTTTTATTGTAAGGAATCTGTGTTGTTCCTCTGTATCACTTCCAGTGCCTTATATGGTGTCAGACACATGGCAGTCACCCAATAAATACACTATGAAAAACTGCCACAGTTACAAAGCTATCTTTTTACATTCTGGAATCAGCCTTACTCTGATGAGATCAAATGACTAAAATACAGAGAAATACCATTATATTACTAATGATATAAAAAAAATTGTCCAAATTTAAAGATACTGTGTTTGTGCATAGCACAGATTAATGGTAGTACCTGATATTTTTAAAATATTTTTGAGGGTTTACATAGACCTAAGTTCTGTACAAGCACTGTCTTAGTCTATACTACAATTGAATAAGGTAGGCACTATTAATATCTCATTTTCAAATTGAAGCACAGAAAGATGAAGAAACTTGTCCCAGGTCATACAGTAAGTGGTAGAGCCCAGATTCTACCTAACTGAAAAAAAAAAAAAAAAGAAAAGAAAAAGAAATTTAACTGAAAAGTGATCCCTGTTAAATATAAGAGTGGGAATAAGAGAGGGAGGAGATGTATAATTTGGGACATGCTCAAGCTGACTTGCCCCAAATGGTGGAGTTAGAAATGTGCCAGGGGATTCCAATATAATCCCATCAAGATTGCATGTACCAATGCCATCTCACTAGTCCAAGTGATCAATTTCAGTTCACAATTGATCACACTGATAGGTCTAAGAGTCAAAGGGATCACACAAACAAGAATAGTGTCTGTGAATACTAACTGATAGAATAAAAAAGGGAGAGAACGATCCAACATGGGAAGTGGGATACACAGCAGACTCATAGAATGGCAGATGTCCTAAACAGCACTTGTCCTCAGAATCAGCCCTTAAGGCAGTCAGATCTGGCTGAAGAGCCCATGAGAGTATTTTAGGCATGGAAAGCCAAGACACTCTGGCAAAAAAAAAAAAAAAAAAACTAAATGAAAGATCTCAAGATCTCTGCGAGTGAGATCCCAGTAGAAAGAACGGGCCATCAAAAGAGGAGGTACCTTTCTCTGAAGGGAAGAGAGAACTTCCACTAGAGCCTAGGGAGATTTCTGACACCATGAACAAGAGTGTCAAATTGTTAAGTCAACAACAGGAGTCACTGTGTACTTACTCCTCATGTGGGATCTCTGTCCTTAATGTGTTGTCCAATGTGAATTAATGCTATAACTAGTATTCAAACAGTATTTTACACTTTATGTTCTATGTGGGTGCAACATGATCAAATCTTTACTTAATATATACTAAATCGATCTTCTGTATATAAAGATAATTGAAAATGAATCTTGATGTGAATGGAATGGGAGAGGGAGCGGGAGATGGGAGGGGTGCGGGTAGGAGGGAAGTTATGGGGGGAAAAAGCCACTGTAATCCATAAACTGTACTTTGGAAAATTACATTTACTAAATAAAAGTTTTAAAAAAGATATGACTTTAAAAAGCAATAAAAATAGATACATCATTGTTTTAATATTAAATCTCTGTTCTTTTTAATTCTTCATTTTTTAATATTTGTATTAAAAATTAAGTACCTTGGGGCCGGCGCTGTGGTGCAGCAGGTTAAAGCCATGGCCTGAAGGGCTGGCATCCCATATGGGCACCAGTTTGAGTCCCAACTGCGCCACTTCCCATCCAACCCTCTGCTATAGCCTAGGAAAGCAGTAGAAGATGGCCCAAGTCCTTGGGCCCCTGCACCCAAGTGGGAGACCCAGAAGAAGCTCCTGGCTCCTGGATTTGGATCGGCACAGCTCCAGCTGTTGCAGCCAATTGGGGAGTGAACCATCGGACGGAAGACCTTCCTCTCTCTCTCTCTCTCTCTCTGCTTCTCCTCTCTCTGTGTAACTCTGACTTTCAAATAAAAACATCTTTAACAAAAAAAAACTTTGATACAAAAGTTAAGCTTGATTTTTAGCCTCTTAATCAAATCAGACACACATGAATTTTTTTCTCTTTTTTGCTCTATTCTATGGGTCTAGAACGGACAAAGGAAAAGGCAGTATTCTAACTCTTAAGTTTAAAACATTACTGCAGAAAGCAGTGGCTGACAGCCATTCATCCTTACTTCTAAGAGTCGTAACAAGACTGATGCAAATTTTTTTTTTTTTGGACAGACAGAGTGGACAGCGAGAGAGACAGACAGAGAGAAAGGTCTTCCTTTGCCGTTGGTTCACCCAACAATGGCTGCCACGGCTGGCACGCCGCGCTGATCCGATGGCAGGAGCCAGGTACTTATCCTGGTCTCCCATGGGGTGCAGGACCCAAGTACTTGGGCCATCCTCCACTGCACTCCCTGGCCACAGCAGAAGAGCTGGCCTGGAAGAGGGGCAACCGGGACAGAATCCGGCGCCCCGACCGGGACTAGAACCCGGTGTGCCGGTGCCGCAAGGCGGAGGATTAGCCTAGTGAGCCGCGGCACCAGCAGGACTGATGCAAATTTACAAGAACAGACTAATAAGCATGCCAGAGGAAATTAGCATCACAACTAAATGTCTTACTTCCAGGAAAGATCAGCCCAATTTGGATGTAAGTTACTGAGGGCTGTAGCCTGTGGTATGACCTCCCAGGGACCCATCAGTGGCATGCTCTCCAGGGGTACTCACAATAATGGGGGGAGGGCAGCGCTGTGGAAGCAGGTTAACGCCCGCCCTGGCCTGAAGCAGCGCCATCCTATATGGGCGCTGATTAGAGACCCAGCTGCTCCTTTTCCCATCCAGTTCTCTGCTATGGCCTGGAATACCAGTAGAAGATGGCTCAGGTGCTTGGGGCCATGCACCTTCGTGGGAAGAAGCTCCTGGCTCCCAGCTTTGGGTCGCACAGCTCTGGCTATTGGGGCCAATTAGTGAACCATTGGATGGAAGACCTCTCTCTCTCTGTAACTCTTTCAAGTAAATAAATAAATCTTTAAAAAAATAATAATAATGCTCATTACAGGCAGTGAAACTTCACAGCTGGATAATAAGGCACTTAAAAATAACAGCAAAGATAATTTTAAGCATGTGGATAGACTTAATAACTAAGGAATAACTAAGTAAACAGAGTAACTACTATAGATTAGAAGGAATTCTGACTCATTAGCATACATGAAAACCTCTGCCCAGCCACAAAAAATTCACACAATTGGGGTCAGCATTGTGGCACAATAGGTTAAGCCACCATCTGCAACACTGGCATCCCATAATGGTACCAATTCAAGTTCCAGCTGCTCCACTTCTAGGAAAGCATCAGAAGGTGGCCCAAGTCCTTGGGCCCCTGCACCCATGTGGGAGACCTGGATGGAGCTCCAGGCTCCTGGCTTTGCCCAGGCCCAGTCCTAGTCATTGCTACCATTTGGGAAGTGAACCAGTGGATGGAAAATCAATCTCTCTCTCTCTCTCTCTCTCTCTCCCTGTTTAGCCCTCTCTGTAACTCTGCCTTTCAAATAAATGAATCTTTTTTTTTTTTAAAGATTTATTCATTTACTTGACAGGCAGAGTTAGAGAGAGAGAGAGGCAGAGAGAGGTCTTCCATCTGCTGGCTCATTCCCTAGATGGCTGCAACGGCCAGAGCTGTGCTAATCTGAAGCCAGGAGCTTCTTCTGGGTCTCCCACATGGGTGCAGGGGCCCAAGGACTTGGGCCACCTTCTACTGCTTTCCCAGGCCATAACAGAGATCAATCAGAAGTGGAGCAGCCAGGTCTCGAACTGACGCCCACATGGGATGCTGTCACTGCAGGTAGCGGCTTTACCTGCTATGCCATGGTGCTGGCCCCCAAAGAATAAATATTTAAAAAAAGAAAAAAATTCACACAAATCCCAAAAGTCCTAAAATGTCAATGCAAAATCTCCCAAAGCACAGTAATTTCTCACTCATCAATAATAGACATGATATCTATAAAAATGCCAGAACTTTAAAATGCCAGAACTCATCTATTTTCATTCTTTCTACCCTCTCAAATTAAAAAAAAAAAAAAAAAAAAAAACTACACTCACCTATAAAGATACATAAAAAAACATAGCAAGTGGAAACCAAGCTTGATCATAGCTTCTTTCATGTGTGACTTCAGTTGCCCTCGATTGTGTATTTCTGTTGGATCAAACACTCCCATGTTACCACTTGGCACCATAATGAAACTGAGGAATTAAAGGACACACACATTAGAAGGAAAATAAAATGATCGGCAGAAATATTCAAAAATAAGTAACCAATAACAATCAACCTCTGAATCAATCACAGCTGTCTTAAATTCAGACCAAATATGGACAGAATAACATACTGATGTCATTATCAGTTTCATTATCTAGGGGTGGCATTATGGCGTAAAGGCTGAAGCTGGCATCCCATGTAGATGTGAGTTTGAGTCCCAGTTGGTCCACTTCAGATCCAGCACCCTGCTAATACGCCTGGGAGAACAGCAGAAGATGGCCCACATCCTTGGGCCCCTGACATCTACATGGGAGACACAGATGAAGCTCCTAGCTCCTGGCTTTGGCGTGAACAGACCTGGCTGTTGCAGCCATTTGTGGGGGAAGCCAGAGGATAGAAAATCTCTCTCTCTCTCTCTCTCTCTCTCTCTCTCTCTCTCTCTCCCTGTGTAAGTCTTTCAAAAAAAGAAATCTTTGAAAAAAATTTTTAAGTGCCCTAACCAAAACAGTACCAAAAAAACAAAAAACAAACAAACAAAACAAAACAAAACTCACCGATATATATTCCAAGTGGCAACAGGTAGGTTGAGAAGGAAGATGAACCAGTGCAATGAAATAAGCATTAATACAGCAACAATGGTATGGCCAATCAATTCTGGAATTACCCACTACAAGGGAAGGGAAGAACACAGTATTACTTTCACTGCTATGTCCTCCCAGACTAAATGTGTTATTTTAAGCTACATCAATGAATGTACAGAGAACTTACAAGCTACTGTTTCAAGATTATTTTTAGACTCAGATGTACCAGATTTGCATACTGCTGTCACTGCTTACCCCATGAAATAAATCAAGGCATAGCTTAAAAATGAAGTACTTAAATTTCAATTACATTTGATTGTAAATAAAGGCTTGGATTCATCCCCTGTGCAGGTTTGAATGAGTACAAGGGAAAAAATACAGAATCATTTAATTTCTATTCCAATATCTATACTAAATATCTATTCCAATATCTATGCTAAAGCCTTTTTCTCTAAACTGGGATGACATATTGCCTTTTAAGTCAAAATATCAATCTTAAACATTTCCAGTCTCCATAATCCTGAAGAAATCATATCAGATTCAGTGGGGAAAAAATTATAAAGTTGGAGCCAGTGTTATGGCACAGCAGGTTAAGTCATGTCTTGTGACACCAGCATCCCAGGATCATAGTGCCAGTTTGATTCCTGGCTGCTCTGCCTCTGATCCAGCTGTGTGCTAATATGCCTGGCAAAGCAGCAGAAAATGGGCCAGGTACTTGGGCCCCTGCCACCAACATGGGAGTCCCAGATGAAGTTCCAGGCTCCTAGCATTGGCCTGGCCCAGCTCCACTCATTGCAGCCATTTGGGGAGTGAACAAGTGGGTATAAGTTCCCTCTCTTGCTCACACATACCCTCTTTCTCTCTGTAATTCTGCCTTTCAAATAAATATATATATATAAAAAATAGTACTAAAGAGCTTTACAGATATATCTGACAAGACTCAGTAACAGGTAAATGAAAACTAAGAAAGAAAGAAAAAAGAAATGGTGGCAATTATTAACACAGGTAAAGACAAAGCTACCAAAAAAAAAAAAAAAGCTACCATAAAAAAAAATATTATCACTGTCTACTGTGATGTACAGCAATAAGTGGTACTTATATTACTATCACATAGGTCATAATGATATAAACATTGAGTATCAATTTGGCCCCCCCAAAAAATAGAAAGATGAGAGCACGGATGTTTAAGTAAAGGGTGCATAACAACAAAATCTTTCTCTACCATACTGAAAAGTGAAGGGATGACATTTAAAGTTGACAAATCAAGAAATACCAGTGCACGCATGTAAAGGTGAAATACGGATTTAGGTATCAGAAAATATTAGAAAAAAGTAAGTGTTTAAATCAGTTGCCCTAAAAAGCAAGACATAATATGAAGACGTTAAGAAGGGACTGCTGTTTTTCACTACAAGCTTTGCAGTCCTGCTGACTTTAGTTGTATACATTCATAATTTTCATAAAACTAAAAATTAACATTAGAGAGGAGGGAGGAATTGGGAAAGGTTGATTGATAGGTACTAGACTATAGCTAGATAGGAATAAGTAGTTCTTAGGTTCTATTGACAGTAGGGTGTAGAGAGAGAACATTACTGTACTGTTTATATCTCTAAAAAACCAGAAAACAGGACTTTTAGATTTTTAACAGTAAAGAAACACTACATAACTGAAAGGATAAATATACTTACCAACTGGACATTATACAATGCTATCCACAAGTCATGAAACATCACACAGTACTCCATAAGTATGTACAATGTTTACAATTTTAAATGAACATTATAAAAACTACTTAAGAGGTGGGTGTTTAGCCTTCATGCACACCATATCGGAGTGTCTGAGTTCAGGTTCTGACTCTGCTCCCAAGTCCAGCTTCCTGTTAATGCACACCCTGTGAAGTAGGTGATGGTTTAAGTAGCTGGGCCCCTGCCACCAATGTGGAGAGAACTGCATTGCGTTCTAGACTCCCAGCTTTGGGTTGGGCCAGTCCCAGCCATTGCAGGAATTTGGGGAGCAAACTCAAACAAATGTATTTTAAGAAATATTTATTTAGTTAGTTTTTGAAAATCAGAGTTACAGAAAGAGAGGGACAGACAGAAATTTTCCATCTGCAGGTTCACTCCCCAAATGGCCACAATCACCAGGGCTAGGCCAGGCAGAAGCTAGGAGCCAAGAGCTTCATCCAGGTCGCCCATGGGGTGCAGGGGCTAACATATTTGGGCATGTTGCACTGTTTTCCCAGGCGCATTGGCAGGGAGCTGAAGCCAAAGTAGAGCAACTGGAACTCAAATTATCGCTCTTATAAGATGCTGGCATTGCAGATAGCAGCTTAACCCACTGCACCACAGTGCTGGCCCCAAACAGATTTTTTTTAAGAAAACTGTATAATCATTTTAATACAAAAAATTGCAAAATACTTATTCGAAAAATATATTACGGCCAGAACTATGGCACAGTAGGTTAAGCTGCCACTTGCAAGACCAACATCCCATATCAGAGCACCCACTGAGCACCAGCTACTCCATTTCCAATCCAGTTCCCTGGTAATGTGGTAATGTGACTGGAAGGCAGAAGATGGTCTAACTACTTGGGCCCCCGCATGGGAGACCAGCATGGAGTTCTAGAATCCTAACTTTGGCCTATCCCAGCCCCAGCCATTGTGGCCATCTAGGAAGCAAACCAATGGATGGAACATCTTCTTTATCTCCCTCTCTGTCACTCAGCCTTTCAAATAAAATTTTCTTTAAAAAAAATTTAAAAAGCAACAGTTGGCCAGTGCCGCGGCTCAATAGGCTAATCCTCCACCTGTGGCACCAGCACACCGGGTTCTAGGCCCGGTTGGGGCACCAGATTCAGTCCGGGTTGCCCCTCTTCCAGGCCAGCTCTCTGCTGTGGCCCAGGAGTGCAATGGAGGATGGCCCAAGTGCTTGGGCCCTGCACCCCATGGGAGACCAGGAGAAGCACCTGGCTCCTGGCTTCAGATCAGCGCAATGCGCCGGCCGCAGCGGCCATTGGAGGGTGAACCAACGGCAAAGGAAGACCTTTCTGTCTCTCTCACTGTCCACTCTGCCTGTCAAAAAAAAAAAAAAAAAAAAGGAAAGAAACAGTAAACAAATAAATAAACTATTTAAGGGGCAGGTATTTAATTAAGATGCTAGTTAAGGTGGCCATGTCCCACACTGGAGTACCTGGGTTTGATCCAAGCTCCAGGTCCTGATTCCAGGAGGCAGTGGTGACAGATTAAGAAACTGGATTCTTTCCACTCACTTGGGAGGCCTGTACTGAGTTCCTGCCTCGCAGTTTCAGCCCCAGCTCAACTTTGGCAGTTAGGAGATTTGGGAATAAACAAGCAGGTGGGACTGCTCTCTATTGGTGTCTGTCTCTCCACCTCTCAAGAAATAAATAAATAAATAAATAAATGTATATATTTATATATGTGTGTGTATATATATAAATCTTCTTTATAGAGTAACTTTTTAAAAAATTTTATGCTAAGTAAAATTTGTTTTTCCTTTTTTTTTTTTTAAAGATTGATTTTATCTATTTGAAAGACAGAGTTACAGAGAAAGAAGTCTTCCATCCACTGGTTCACTCCCCAAATGACCACAACAGCCAGAACTGAGCTGATCTGAAGCCAGGAGCCAGGAGCTTCTTCCAGGTCTCCCATGCAGGTGCAGGGGCCCAAGCACTTGGGCCATCTCCTACTGCTTTCCCAGGCCACAGCAGAGAGCTGGATCAGAAATGGAACAGCTGGTACTCGAAATGGCATCCATATGGGATGCTGGCACTGCAGGCTGGAGCTCTAACCTACTGTGCCACAGCGCCAGCCCCAGAGTAACTTTCATAGTAGAAAAAAAGTTAATCTTTTCTCCATATGCAGATTTTTATTTGGATCATGGAAAACCCACAAAGTATTAAGCAAGAAATAAAAATGAAATATAATAATCAGAGCCAACACTGTGGAGTAACCAGTTAAGCCAATGTATGTAAAGCCAGTATCCCATATGAGCACTGATTTGAGTCCCAGCTGCTCTACTTCTGAACCAGCTCACTGCCGATGTACCTAGGAAAGCAGCTGAAGATGGTCCGTGGACCACATGGGAGACGCAGCCTGGCCCAGCCATTTGGGGAATGAACCAGAATGAAGATCTCTCTCTCCCTCTCTTTAACTTTGCATTTCACATAAATAAATTTTAAAAATCTGTTATTCTCTTAAAAAGGAAGAAGAATATAGTTCACTAGAAAATTTAATTTTCCAGTTACACTCTTCCAAAGAAAGTTTAACTTTATTTTCCTCATCACAGAAACGCAAACAAAGCACATCTCTCAGTACTGTATTTTTATATAAACTTTCATCCAGAAAGCTTCACTGCTCATCTCATAAAATAATCAGGGCCAACTGGTTTTCCCAAATCTAGATAAGCTCTACAATTCAGAGTACACATGCCAGTATAAAACTCTGACTACACTAAAGGTAAAATAGCCTTAGAACAAATCAAGTAATTAAATCCATTTCTCAGCAAGCCACACAAGGAAGGTCTCATTTCACTCAAAGGACTGAACTTTAATACCATGAGTGGCAGGAGGGGATTTGAGCACAGAGGACAGAAACGATTAACCTCGTGTTTAACTTGTACCTGGTCTGAGAAATCATGTTGTCCATTATAGACAAGGGGAAAAGGAATATGCACAGTAAAGAAACCAAATGTTAAGTCAGATCTCTAGCATAATTTCATAATATAAATATTGCAAAACACAGAAGTTCTACCCAACATTCCAATGAGTAAGAGACAATATGCACTCTAAAGTCAAAATACACGTTGATTACCTATAACAATCTTTAACACACAAAATAAAGAACTGATTTCCATGCCAAAAAATGGGCAGAGATGTCTTACCTTGTTTAATTTCGAGCAACATGATCTAGCATTAATGTAATCACATTCTAAATCAGACAATGTAATTATCTGGTGATCAAGATAAGGAATCATTTCTTTTACAACAACTACATATTTAAGTTTCAGAAAGCAGTCTCAGTTGTAAAACAGACTTAAATTTGACTTTAAAAAACTCTGTTGGGGCCAGCACT